GCCTGGCTTTTACCGGGGGGCCTCTTGGAGGCCCGGCGGGCTCCTCGTCTCTCCTGGCAGCCCCACCGCCGTCTCGGAGGCCGACCCCCCTCGCGCCACCTTCTCGTGCGCGCCGCCAGCGCCCCGCCAGCATCACTTCTTGGCCTCTGACTTCTTGGCCTCGGCTGGAGAGCAAGAGAACGGTGACCATGACCAAGACTGAGCGCGGAAGCGTCGGCGTCCATCCTGGTCGTCGTCCACCTTGGTCACCGCCGGTTCGTGGATCATCCTCGCAAATCGGCGACGATTGGGCATGGACCATGACCAGGATTGGCGCCGCCAAGATTGAGCGACACCCTGGCCATGGCCATCGTGTTTCTTCGGAGGGACAAGAATGGGATAAACATACATGTTTGGAGGTCCGCGTGGACTTCTTGGATCTGCGCTGGACTCCATCCTTGGCGCGCAGAACGCGCCATGTTGCGGCGCCGGAGGCGCCGCCAGGGGGGGGTGGGCGGCCAACGCAGATCCCAGAACTTCGCGCGGACCGTCGACAGATCATGCTGACGCTGCGCTCTCTTGTCCAGGGGCTCCCGCGAACGGCGGGCGGGCATGGAGCCAGGGCTGCCCCAGTCGCTCCCCCCCCGAACAAACCGAAAAACAGAAACGACCCACGGCGGCGTCAGTGGGCCCTGCCACCGCGGACCCGGCGCGCCCCGCGGCATGCGGCGTGCGGGGGCGCTACGGGCCGCCGGGCGGCGCCGCGAGAGAGAAGCAGCCAGCGGAGGGGACGAACACGGGGGCCACGATCAAGGCTGCACGCGGAAACGCCGTGCCAATCTTGGTCACCGTCGACCTTGGTCAACGACATCCCGTGGATCTTTCTCGCGCGTCGGCGACGGCCGGCAAAGGGGCCAATGTCAAGGTCGGTGCCGACAAGATCTCGCGACATCTTGGTCATGGCCCCCGTGTTTCTCTAGCAGAAGAGGAAAAACGCCATATACATAAACTGTTGTCGCTTCGCGCGGATTTCGTGGATTTGCGCAGGACCTCCCCGCCAGGGGGGCACAGCGCGGATCCAAGAAATCCGCGCGGAGCGCCACAAGTTTATGATATTGGCGTTTTTTTGCAATTTCGAATCTTGGTCCGTAGGGGGCGGGAATGGAGAGAGGGAGGAGGGAGAACCTTGGCCCGCTTCCCCTCCCCTCCTCCCTCCCTCCCTGCCCCTCCTCCCCTCCTTTCGTTTTTTGGTTAAGGCTAGGTCCCCTTAGTTTTTCCCTTCGGGGGGAGCCATGGTCGCGAGGAGCCAGCAAGACGAGACGAGCCGAGCTACGGCTTCTCAGCGGGGGGCCGCTTATCAGAAGGCGCTGGCCTCGCATCTGTAGATGAGGCCCGCTCCTCCTCCTCCTCCTCCTCCTCCTCCTCCTCCTCCTCCTCCTCCTCGTCCTCCTCGTCTTCCTCGTCCTCGTCCTCCCTCGCCTCCTCCTCCCTTCCTCCTCCTCTTCCTCCTCCTCTCCTCCTCCTCCTCCTCCTCCTCCTCCTCCCCCTCTCCTCCTCCCCCCTCCTCCTCCTCCTCCTCCTCCTCCTTCTCCTCCTTCCTCCTCCTCCTCTCCTCCTGCTCCTGCTCCTCCTGCTCCTCCTGCTCCTCCTGCTCCTGCTCCTGCTCCTCCTGCTCCTCCTGCCTCTCCTCCTCTCCTCCTGCTCCTCCTTCTCCTCCGCTCCTGCTCCTCCTCTCCTCCTCCTCCTCCTCCTCCTCCTCCTCCTCCTCCTCCTTCCGCTTCCTCCTCCTCCCCCCCCTACACTCCTCCTCCCCTCCTCCTCCTCCTCCTCTCCTCCTCCCCTCATTGCCTTCTCCTCCCTTCCTCCTCCTCTTCCTTCTCCTCCTCTCCTCCTCTCCTCCCCTCCTCCTCCTCCTCCTCCCCTCGCCTCCTCCCCCCTTCCTCCTCCTTTTCCTTTCTCCCCCTCCTCTCCTCTCTCCTCCTCCTCCTCCTCCTCCTGCTTCTCTTCCTCCTCCTCCTCCTCCTCCTCCTCCTCCTCCTCCTCCCACCCCTCCTCCTCCTCCTCCTCCTCCTCCTCCTCCTCCTCCTCCTCCTCCTCCGCTCCTCCCCTCCTCCTCCTCCTCCTCCTCCTCTCCTCCTCCTCCTCCTCCTCCTCCTCCTCCTCCTCCTCCTCGTCCTCGTCCTCGTCCTCCTCCTCCGCCCCCCCGTCCTCCTCCTGTTGAGAGGCCGTGCCCCACCGTCCCTTTTAACCCTCCTCTGCGAACCGCCGAAGCCTCTCGGGGGAGGCTGGCGTCAGGATGGGGGTGGCCCAGGAGGAGGAGGACGACGACGAGGAGGAACAACAGGTGGGAGAAGGAGGAGGAGGAGGAGGGGGGGGAGGGGGAGGGGGAGGAGGAGGAGGAGGAGGAGGAGGAGGAGGAGGAGGAGGAGGAGGAGAGGAGGAGGAGGAGGAGAGGAGGAGGGGGAAGGGAGGAGGAGGAGGAGGAGGAAAAGGAGAAAGAGAAGGAGGAGGAGAGGGAAAAGGAGGAGGAGGAAGAGGAGGAGGAGGAGCCTCCCGCGAGAAGACGCAGCACACCACCTCCCGCGGCGACGCGCGAGGCGCCAACACGGCACGCTTCTCTGGAAGCGAGGGCGCCGTCGCGCGACATCACGCGGGCAGCCCACGCGCCAGTGCCAGTCTGGACCTAAACGTTGTGTTTGTGTTCGGTTTGCTCTACCTGTTTTCCTGGACTTCCCTGCCAACACGAGAAACACAACACAGCCGAAGTCCAGCAACATAGCGTTTAGGTCCAGACCTGGCGTCATGATAGGATCGGCCCAGGATGCGTGTCAGGATGTCCAGGACAACCAACGGTCCTCGGTCCTGAAGTCCGTGTGGGAACAGCTGGGACTCTGGGGACTCCTGGAGACCTTGAGGATTGTGGAAGGCATCATTCTCGGGACCTCGTGTTCCTCTAAGGTTGGGTCGGGCACGTAATCCTACAGGCGGACCCTGGCAGAACAACGAACGTAGCCCCAACATGCCACAGCATCGTCAAACACAGGGGGAGAAAAAACGTTCCTGGACTATGTGTTGACTATGGTTGGGCACCCTTCCTGTAGAGGGATCTGCCCGACGTAACTCTAAGGTCAGAGACAGAGGAGTGAACGAATCAGCTCCCGCGGCTGGGTATGCCAATTCCAGTGTATCACGGGAGGCGCTCGGCGGGGGGGCTGAGACTGGCCGCGTGCCGCAGACATCGCCCCTCCCCGTTTTCCGTCTCTTAGAAAAGGGTGGGACACACCAACAAAAAGTCAGGCATCCCAGGACTCATGACATTCAGTCATTTGTTTGTTTCTGGGTCCCCCTCTCCCCCCACTTCCCATATTTTCCCCCATCATGTCCCGAGCGTCGACGATTCATGGCGCCTGCGTCCGTTCCCCCCCCCCCCCCCCTGCCCCTCGTCCGACCCCCGAAGCTGGCCCGCCGTGCCCCGCCGAAGGCTGCTGTTTGCTCAGGCCGCGCGGCAGGAGTGCCAAAGCATCCAGCGGACCTCGCTCTTGGAACCAGTGCGGAACATGAGGTCTTGAGCATATGTGGAATTCTATGTTGGGCTTGTTTTCCACCGCCACAATCCATGAGTAGGGGTGAAAGGGGGTCCTTTTCCTCCCCCGCCTCCTCTGCTTCCTCCAGTTCCTCCCCCTCCAACTTATGGCGGCGGTGGTGGAACACAGGACAATCAAGTCTAGAAATCTGAAAACGTAGACTTATCAAATACTTTGTGTCGGCTGCGAGCCTTGTCCTCGCGGCCCTATCCGCGCCCGGCCCGCGACGACTCGAGGTATGGTTCGTCAGATCCGCGCCGAATCCACGTCGAAACCGCTTCGGGTCCGCGCCACGCCGCGTCGAATCCACATCGAGCCCACATCGGGCACAAGGAACGGCACCATTTTGAGGGACAGACGAGGCCCCCCAGAGATGCAACGTCGATTATCGAGGCTTCTTGCGCCTCTGACGCTCCTGCGCGCGAAGGACTGGCCCTGCAAGGGGGGCCAAGGCAAGCATCCCCAGCACCCCCTAGGGAAACGCACAGGACGCCAAAGGAATGTCTCTGGGATTCCCCGGGGACTCCCGCAGAAATCCTCAGAGGCTCCTCGGAGCCTCTGAGACGTGGAGGAGGGGGGGAGGAGGCGGAGCCAGAGGCGGAGGCGGAGGAGGAGGCGGAGGTGGAGGAGGAGGAGGAGCAGGAGGAGGAGGAGAAGAAGAACCCCCCCCCCCCCGCAGGGCCGATCGGGCCCTGGGGGGGGGGGGCAAGCGGCGGCGGTCGGAGAACTCACATGCCATCGGGAACCATGAACCAAGAGAGGGAGGAGGAACATGAACACGATGAAGATTATGTTGGATTCTGCTGCGCTGCCACGCATGTGGCTCCTGAATTCCCAACCGCGGAGGAGCACTCGCCTCCGCGGCCGCTCAGGCGCTGCGCGGGAGGAACAACGAGCCTCCGCGAGCGGATCAGGCGCAGGAGAAGCACGAGCCCCCGCCCCGAACAAGGAGTGCCGCAGGAGGGCAAGAGCCTCCGCGGCACTCACGACGCGGCCGACTTCTCGGGCGGGAGGCCGAGCTTCACCAAGAGTGCCGTCCGCTCGTCTTCTTCCAAAGCCGGAAGAGAGTCGACCACCTCCATAGCTGCCCCGTCGAACCTGGCCTCCGCCTGCGCCAAGACGATCTTGGCACGCTCGACGTCGAGGGCCGCGCGATTAACGACCTCATACGTCCTGGCGATTGTCTCACCAATGTCGTCCGTTTCCACGACGTCCGCGACCTGCGGCACATTCACCTTCTTCTCGGACTCCTGGTCGGCCACGGCCGCCTCGAAGAACGTCGTGCCTTGGCCCGCCACGCCGTTGGGGACCACCACCTCGGCGCCGATGGCCAACTCTTCCGCGAAACTATGGGGCTCGCCGTGCTGCTACTTCGCCGTGGCCTTCCCCGTGTCGATCTCGATCGAGACCCTCACCGAGGCCGAAATGGCACTGGCAAGCTCCTCCAGGAGCGTGGCGATCACCAGCTCTTTCTGCTACAACATCGAGTCCACGTGAACGTCGAGCTGCTCCTGCACGTGGGGAACCTCCATGACCTTCTCTGTTGTCTGGTTATCTTCCTTCTCTTTCTCCTCAACGACCTCCTCCGACTTCAGCACGCTATCGACCCTCATCGTCTCCTCCGCGTCCTCGGAATCCATCGCCACCATCTTCTCGGGTGTCTCCGAAGATGTCCATGAAAGAGACGGGTCGCACGTACTGCATGAAATGGAGCTGTTTGGGATTCGAACTGGTCGCCGCGAGGGTGACGGGCGCCGCGCCGACCTCGGCGATCAAGCTGGAGTCCGGGTTGGGCTGCCCACCGTCTGCCCACACGCAGTGCTGCCCACCGCTTCGCCAAGGCGGGCTGCTCCTTGGCGAAGGCACGCCGTGCCTCTTCCGACGTGGCCTTACGGCCTAGGGCTAGGCGCCGCCCTGCGCCGTGCAAGACCTGCTCGTAGCTCTCGAGGGCGCAACCGCCCTCCGGGCCGCCGCCGTCCGCCAGGCGCAGCATCTGCTCCGCGGCGGCAGCCACCGTGTCGCAATGTGCGACACACAGCCCGTGTCGCACCAGCGGGCCCCTCGCGAGCCCAGCCCGCACCATCGCGCGCGCACACTCCGCCCGCGCTCAGCCGTAGCGTGAGCCAAAATGGCTACGGATGAATACGACTAGGAGGAGGAGGAGGCGGAGGAGGAGGAACAGGAACAGGAGGAGGGAGGATGAGGAGGAGGAGGTGGAGGAGGAGGAATCCGAATCGATCAGGAGGAACAGGAGGAGTAGGAGAAGGAGGAGGAGGAGGAGGAGGAGGAAGAGGAGGACCAGGAGAAGGAGCAGGCGGAGGCGGCGGCGGCGGCGATGGAGGAGGAACATGAGGAGAATAGGGGGGCCGGCCTCAGACGGCAGGCGCAGGTAGCCGTAGGCAAAGCACCCCAAGAGGGAGACGAAGCATCCCAGGAACGACATCGGCGTGAGGTGCTCGTGGAAGACGAACATGCCTCGGAGGGGCTCGACTAGAGGCCTCCTAGACCGCACAAGCCTTGGACTTTGAAAAATACGCTGAATCATTCATATGCTCGGGATGCCGCTCGTCAGTGCAGAGATGCACTAGAAATTAGACGGTTGACCAAACTTCTCAGGAATAATTCGCCAAGATAAGCGACTGTGGTTAGATGAGCAACTACGTGGAGGACCATGGCAAGCCGTGCGACACCTCCAGAGGGGCGCCGCGAAGAAACCACTCCAAGTGAAAGACTCAGGCGGCGTGCTGGTTGATAGCAGTCAGCGCTCTGACGTACTAGCTGATTATCTGGAGCACACACAATGGAAAATTACCAACCCCAACGAAAACCGTCCTCGAGGACGGAATTGGGACACGCACTGCCTGTAGCAACGCACGACTTTGCTACGGAAGAATGTGCAACGGCCCTCAAGAGGCTGTCTCTTGGGAAACCTGCTGAGATCGATGCGACGCCTCCAGAGCTTTGGAAGTTCTTGATGCCCTGGGGAAGCATTGGGACATGTCTTGCGTTGTGCCCGATTTTTTGGAATTACAGCGATGTTCCTGCGCAATGGAAAATTGCCTGCTACGCTACTCTACAAAATGGGAGGCGAGAGTCTTCCAGATAATTACAAGACAATTGCATTGCTCCCGATTGGATACAACATCGTAACATCGATGATTCAAAAACGATTGCAACATGGAAATGCCGAAAAAAGAAAATGGAACACTCAATTCGGTTTCCGGCCTGACCGGGGCACCACGCAAGTAACTTCCATCGCGCGCAGAATGTTCGATGCGGCCTACGCGGCTGCCACGTCCGGCTTACCGCTATCTTCTCGGACTGGGCCAGAGCCCTCGACAGGATCGAGCACGGCGTTCTCGTTGAGGCGCTGCGCCAGTTTGGGGTTCCAGAACAGATGGTGAAGTTTGTTGCTGGCATATTCCAGGAACGTCTGCTCATACTGAGAAACGAATGCGGCAACTCTTCAACCAGGAAGCAAAATGCTGGAATTGCCCAGGGGTGCCCGCTCTCCCCGTACTTATTCATTATCGTGCATTCTGTCTTTTTTTCGATGCCGACAAGGAGATTGAAGAGGCAGGCGTTGACATCCAAGAGCCAGCGTACATTGCGTGTTCCGACCTCCCCTATGCGGACGACACCGTGCTCGCCTGCAGCCGCCCTCGCATATTACAACTCATCTTAAATATCGTCAGGAAAGAAGGCGCAAAATACGGTCTGGAGCTAAACTGGGATAAGACACTTGCTATGAAAATCAACAACAATGGGGATATCGTGGATCCCCAGGGGAAACCAATGAATATTGTCGACAAGACCGTGTATGTGTGTGGACTTCTGACTGCACGCGCTTCAGCACATTTGGAACCATCCCGTCGACTTGGAGAAGCCAGAGGGGCATTGAAAGCCTTACAAACATGTTGGTCGCATGCCAATCTATCGCGGTATAGGACGATCGAGTTTCACAGCATCATCGTTTTACCAGAGCGGACGTGTAATGTGATATCTGTTTGGCTCCTCCAGGCTGACAAACGTCGGCTGGACGGCTTCCACGCCAGAAGCCTGAGACGAATGTTAAGCATGCCATGCGCATGTGTCACTAGAATTTCGAACGAAGAAGTTCTGGATAGGGCGCGCCAATTTCCTTTGAACGACACCCTTCGCAACCAGCAAACGAAACTGCATGAAGTTATAGCGGCCCTGCCGGAAGACCATGTTATGAGCGCCCACGTGCGCGCCCGGATCGTCGGAGCCACGCAGGTGGAACTTGACCCCCAAACAAGGGAGGCCCAAGCAGCTCCTGCCGGCATGCTGCCTAACTTTTAAGTGGCTGCACGCGCGTAACCTGCAGCAGCTCTGCCAGCCACTGCGCCGCAAGGGGCGCCTGGCATACGCGACGTGACGCAGATGGTGTCCGACCACATGGGATCGGGCGTCCGCGCCGCCTCGCCGATGCATCGGCGATGCACCGCCGATGCCTTGGCGAGGCATCGGCGCCGCCGGTGACGCATCGGCGACGTCGACGTGGAGCAAGTCGGGCTCCACAGCGAGCCGCGTCGGCGATTCGTCGGCTCCGACCACATCTCCTCCGACCCCATCCAGGAGGCCTAGATTCAGGTCGGGCATGCCCCCCTACAGGTGGAGTGTGGACGAAAGATCAAACATAGTCCAAACATACTCCCACAATGATCAAACATAGTCGACACATCGTCCCCAGACTATTCTTTTACTAGTTCGGATAACCCCGACTGTAGAGGGACTGGCCCGACTTAAGCCTCGATCGATGACATCCCGTGGATTGATGCTTCCGATCGCGGCGGTGGTCCCAAATTTCGGCCTCTGGGGAACATTCTCGGGCCCCGGGCCCCGGGGCCCTCGAGCACGAGTCCGGGGCGAAGAAGCACCCCTGGGGAGCAGGTCGAGACCTCTTGGGCCACCAGATGTGCGGGTATACACCCCGTCGTCTGGTCGGGGGAGGAATTCGGTGGCATGGACGATGCAGCATCTTTCAAATTGGGAAGCTGGGACGTCTGTGCACAAGGTTCCTCGGTCCCTCTGGACGGCTTGGTGTGTATATCAGGGAACAAACAACGACATAAACATAATCGTTCGCGGGTTCGCGCGGATTTCTTGGATCGGCGCTGGATCCCCCTCCCTGGCGGGCGGAGCGCGCCCGGGGCGGCGCCAGAAGCGCTGGCGCGGACCTCCGAACACATTATGAATATGCCATGGGCCATTGCTTATTCTCTGGGTAAAGTTCGCGCCCCAGCCAGCCGAGAGCGATGATCAGCAACTTGTTGAAGTTCTGCATCACGAGCACCGTGGTACCTGGGGTAGGCTTAGGTCGGGCATGTCCCCCTACAGGCGGCTTTTGGGAGAAAACATGGAAATTAGCCAAAATGTAGTCTAAAATTGTCAAAAACAGTACAGAAAATCGTCCCCCTTTTACTGATTGCCTATTTTTGAATATTCCTCCTGTGTAGGGACAAGCCCGACGTAAGGGCAGGCTTCCGCGTGCTTGCGCGTGCTCGGCCCCCAGCGCGGCAGCAGGAGAGCGCGAGATCGACCGACACCAGAACGGGCAAGCGAGTCGAACTCCAAAGTGTGCGCCGGACCTGGCCGCACCTCGTCGGATCGAGGATGGGGTCCTGATGGATGGGGTTCTCAGGATACACCCTGCGAAATACTTAAGAAATCATGGGTAAAGAAATTCGTAGTCTCAGAATTTGAATAAAAACCCAGAACTTCTATTAACATCAAAAAGGATTTACATTGAAACATTAAGAATAATCGAGACTCTGGCCGAAAACTTAAGTTTTCCTAAGCATCGCCTAGGGTGTAGGACGGGGTTCGGGGGTGGATTTACATTGTGTGGGGCATCCTGTCCAGGCCTCCGTCCCTCAGGACCCCATCTTTGAACCACCGGGCATCGGCGCTCGGTCGGATTCACAGCAGGAGGAGCAGCAGCGCCAGGATGCACAACATCGCAAGCATCGGGCCGTTCCGGATCGCCGGAACACCAAGATCAGAGCGGAGGATCGGGCCGGGCGGCATCGGTGCCGAGTCAGATCGATGGGATCGAAGTGTGCCCTGGGAGGTAGACGATGGGCCTGTTTTCCACCACCACCATCATAAGTTGGATGGGGGGAGGAGGAGGAGGAGGAGGAGGAGGAGGAGGAGGAGGGGGAGGAGGAGGAAGAGGAGGAGGAGGAGGAGGAGGAGGAGGAGGAGGAAGACCCCCCACCACCCCAACTTGTGGTGGTGGTGGTGGGAAACAGGCCCATCAGCAGGTGGGATGGGAAGGAGGAAGGCCAGCGAGCGAGCGAGGCGCCGGTGCGGGCCTCTGCGGGCCGAAGCGCGCGCCTGCCCGTGCTCGTGCGGGCAGGATGCGCGAGGCCGTGTAGCCCCCGAGTGCCCTGCAGAGCTCCGGCATAGCAGGCACCGGACGTCGGCCTGCAGCGAGCACCGCGCGGGTGCCGCAGGATGGGGCCGCAGCGCTCCAGGATGAGAAGGAGGGGCAGGCGGGGGAAGCGGCCGAGCGCGGGGGTACCCGAAACAAGCTGCTGCGTGCGGAGTCCCACGTACCCCAGCGACGCGCCGCACAGCCCAGACATCATCACCAGGAACCATGCGTTCCTGTCGGCACGCGCGATGGGCCAGGGAGGACGGGGTGGCCGAGGAGGAGCGGGAGGCAATGAGGAGGAGGAGGTGGAGGTGGGGGAGAAAGGGAGCAAGAGGGGGAGGGGGATGGGAGTGAGGAACGAAGGGGTGGGAAAGGAGGACGAGGAGTGGGAAAGGGGAGCGGAAAAGGAGGCGGATTGGAACATGAGGAGGAGGAGGAGGAGGAGGAGGAGGAGGAGGAGAAGGAGGAGGAGGAGGAGGATTGTCAAGTAAGGAGGAGGAGTGGGAAGTGGGAGGGGAGGAGGCATGAGGAAGGGGGCGTGAGGAGCAGGAGGGCCAGTTCCTGTCCGCGGTCGCGAGCGCGTGGCCCCAGTGCGCCACCTCGCCCTTCGCCAGCGCGAGGGCGAGCATGGGGACGATTCCCAGGCCGTTGTTCAGGAGCATGCACATGGAAATGCTGATGCTGAAATCCTTTTGTTTTGGTAGTCCCCAAACATGGTGGTGACAACACCTGGCAGTGAGTCTCGGGTGATTTGGTGTCACCACCCGGTTTGGGGACTCGTGCGGTTTTCCGAGGATGTCCCGGACACTGGTGGGTCCAGGAGTCACAAAACCCGGTGGTGACCCCGCGTCCCCAAACCCAGCGGTGACCTTTTTGGGGATTCCAGGTCGCCACCTGGTATCTCACCACCCGGTTTGGGGGTTCCCAATTGTTTGAACAGGGGCCGACCGCCCCGGCACTCCTATAGGCCTACCACGAGATGTTCTCAGAACCCAAACATGTTCCGATAACAGAAACGATGCTCTTAGAACATACACCCGATGTGTTAACACAAGACGTACTCAACCTGAAAGGTTCTAAGAACAGTTCAAGCAGACCACAAAAAGTTATTATAACATTTTCTGGTGGGCCTATAGGCAAGCCAGGACGCTTCGCCACTGTTTGATTTACCTAACATCTTGCATCTGCGCTGGCTAGGCCCCCCTGGCGGCACTTGGGGGTCCCAAAACCGTGTGGTGACAGACCCAACGGTGACCTCGAAATCCGCAAAGACCTCACCGCACGGTCCGTCACCACACGGTTTTGGGACCCTGGAGGCTCCAGTCGCCCGAGACATCCTCGGAGAACGACCCAAGTCCCAAAACCGTTCGGTGACCCCGAACCCACACCGACTCACCACACGGTGTGGTCACCACCCCGTTTGGCAGCCCCCGAGGCACCTCCGGCGATGCCCCTGGCGCGCTCCGCGCGCCCAGGAGGGGGCTCCAGCGCAGATCCGAGAAATCCGTGCGGACCACCAAAAGTTTCTGTCTACGCCGTTTTCACGGCGCGCACCAACTGTATACACTGACGCCGATCCTGGCCACGATCACCCTGGGCCTAGGATCTGACTACCTACCAGACCACCCCAACCCAACCCGAAGACCCGCATTTCGGGTTGGGTTGGGGTGGTCTGACTACCTACCAGGCCCACCCAGACCCACCCAGACCCAACCCGAATCCGAAACCCCACCCCAACCCAACCCGATAGGATCGGTGTCTACGCGCCCCTCGATCCAGAGGCTCCCCCCCCGGCCACCTGCCAACATCTTGGAGCGAGGCGTTTGGGTCGTCATGGAAGGGGGCGGGCGGTTCGCCACGGGCGAGGATGGGCGGAAGGGGGATGGCCGCTTCTGGCCTCCTAGAAAAGAGGGGAGCGGGGGGAGGAGGAGGAGGAGGAGGAGGAGGAGGAGGAGGAGGAGGAGGAGGAGGAGGAGGAGGAGGAGGAAGGAGGGAGGAGGAGGAGGAGGAAGGAGGGAGGAGGAGGAGGAGGGGGAGGAGGGAGGAGGAGGAGCTGCCACGGGTCCTTATTGCCCTTGAGCAGCTTGGCCTGCACGAGCCGGTCCACGATGGTGAAGGCGCAGTTCACGAGGATGAGTATCTTGCCAAGGTTCGTCGCGGAGATGTCGACGAACCCGTAGAGCACGCTGCCGGCCAAGGTCACTACCAACGACAGGACCACCTTCCAGCACATCGACTCCGGCTGGTTGAACAAGGCCTTCTCGAACCCGAAGGTGAGGATAGGCAAGATGTTCCTCATGATCAGAATGGTGGTCAAACTTGCCTCCTTGAATGCGAACATGGACGTGCCGAGCATCCCGGCAAAGGCGAAAGGCACGACCAGCCACTTCATGAAGTCAGCCCACTTGTCCATCTTCATCTTGTCGTACTCCATGCATATGATCACGACAACGGACACCAGCATCTGTATGATGACCAGGAGGCAGGTGGCCTCGAACGCCTTCGCCGCCTTCTTGTTGAGAACGTTCATGGCCAGGCTGGCAAAGATGTCAGAATGAGAAACAGCGGCATGCGCGTGAGCTTTTGGAGGTCCGAGCGGATCTCTCGGGTCGGCGCAGGGCCCCGCCTCCCCTGGTGCGCGAAGCGCGTCCGGAGAGGCGCCGCCAGGGGGGCTCCAGCGCCGACCAGGGCAATCTGCACGGACCTCCGAAAGCTTATGCTGACGACGATGTTCCCCCTTGCAGATGTAAAGCCCAGTGACGACCAGAATCACAACCAGGCTCGGCTGCCTCAGCGCGTCCGTGCGCAGGAGGTCCGCAAGCGTACCCTCAGCACGCTGGGGGGCATGTTGGAGCGCTTGCAAGTTAGTTACCTGGTACGCCAACCAGAGCTCGCGAGGTTCAAAAACCCCGACACACCAGATGTCTCCAGAGAAGACCCAGGACGCCCCCCCCCAAGAAGTGTATGTAGGTGTCATTCCAGTGGGGCCCCTGAGCCATGCTCTAGGAGCCCCTCAGCCCTGCTCTAGGAGGCAAGCCGCCTTGACCTAGCCTGATTAGCACAGGGCGCAGTCCTTCGCAGTTGCTGAAGCGTCCGAGGGCTGCTCCAAAATTGGCCCAGCGGCCACATGCGCCCGTGCCCGTGAGGGCTGGGGTTGTGCCTCCGCATGGGGTGCCAGACGCGCTAGGGATGTGTAAAACCGGCCGCAGTTTCCACACGCGTCCGTACTGCAGCATGGGCTGCGTATTGGACACAGTGTGTGAGCTGAGAGGTGAAGCACTGCGGGCACGCGGGGAGTACGAGTGGCAGCGGCAGACAGCGCCGCAGTAGCAGCAGCAGCAGCAGCAGCAGCAGCAGTGCGAACAGACGCGGCAACACAGACGACAACTGCGGCACGAAGGTGTGGAGGGGGCCGAGTCTATGACGTTGGAGGAGGTTGTGCGGCGCAGCGGATCCCAAACGAGGAGGCAACTCCAAAGGAGGCTTTGAACACATCCTCGGTGCGTTCAGCTCCCCATGGCCAGGCTTGTCGGGCAAATACCAGGAAGGCGTCAGAGAGCTCCAAGCTGACCCTCGGGGTCTCACAAGCGCCGCTAAGACGACGGCCCCAGAAGAGCTCCCCAAAACAACAGCTCGAACATCTTTTGCAAGACGAATCGCCACCGTTTCTAGTTGGAGGCGGCCAGGGGGTCTTAGCTGGTTGGGCCCCGAAGACATTGGTCAAACGGGGGAGGATGAGGGCAAATCCACTCAACTCGATCCAAGGACCCTCTACCAAAATCCACCTGGTGCAATGTTTCTCCCCGGATCCATTTCTGATGGTCCTGGGGCCCGAAAAAGGCAAAACAAACTTGTTCAACCCATCACTTCGAAACTGCCCCACTTCCTGCTGGCCGGAATCACAGCTGGGCCACCTCAGACCCCCCAGGCCGCCCCAAAATTCAAAGGGGCCTCCAAAACAGCCCCAGACCTGGCTGGACGGCCACGAAGTGGATTATGCCGAGCCTCCTCCTCCAGAGAATCCTCCGCCCAGACAGCCTCCAACATCCTCAAGCAAGAAACCGAGAGGTCCTCCAGAAGCGCCCCACAACAAAAATCCCACCAGCCCTCTGGGCGTAGGTGGTCTAGGGTGATCTCAATGTCCTCTTCAAAACCTTCCCTCCTGCTACCCATCCCCTCCCTGCGGTTTTTTGGAAGGGTTCGTGAGGTTACAGGGGGTCCGTACTCGCCCAAGATGGCTCCAAGATTACCAGTTTGAAACATCTCCCTATCCCTGTGTGTTGGCATCACCTCACCTCGACGCCGATCTTAAGGGTTCCCTCAGTTTCTGAAGGCAAATCCCTAAGATTGCCCTCGTTGAAAAAGCCCATCTTAGGGATAAGGGTAAGTTCGAGGCTGGTTACAAGAGGACCTCCGATGCTCCAAGATGGCATCCAAGGCGGCTCAAACTAACCAAAACTGGTTCAAAACAGCTTCCGGCATGCAACACGACGGCTCCAGGTGCTCCTGGAGATCCCTGAGGACCCCCCTGGAGAGGTGCGAATCCTCACCAATTCACCTTAATTCATTTTGATCCCATCGTACTTAAAGGCTACCAGAAAGAAGTTCTAGCACCCAGGAAAGTATCGAATCAATGTCGCCTCCCAGGGCCCGTCAGTAAAAAAACAAAGTTTCGGTACTTGCTTGGTGCTCGAAATTCTTCTTGGTAGTCGAGGCTGAAGTTGGTTGAAACATCATAATCCTTACGGGCACTCAACGATGTTTGCCTTCTTGCCTTCTCGCTTCCGATGCGATTCTGGGGCCCCAAGATCGCCTCAGGACGGCCCAAGCGCGCCCCAAAAGTGGCCCCAAGAAGCCCCCCAAACATCACCAAGCGTGCCCAAGATCGGCCCAAGAGCGCGCCAAGAGGCGATTCTGATGGCCCCAAGGGGGGGGGAAGACAATCGAGGACCCCCCTCCTCTGGCCATCGCTCGGACGTCCATTCCCCGTACTTTTTTCGGTTTCGTGCGTGGTTCTTTCGCCAACCGATCCAGGATGCTCCTCGATGGTCCTCGCCGGAGGAAAAACGCACACGTCCGAGCGATGCCGAGTCCTTGGACCGACTGCCTCCAAGATGGCCTCCTCCAGAGGCCCTCCAGGGCTTCCAAAGAGGGTAAAGGGAAATTACGACACACAAATAAATACACACAAATAAAAATAGTCCCCATGTTTTCCCATATTTTCTGGGTTTTTGTCTCCCCCCCAATTCCCATATTTTCCCATATTTTCCTGGGAATCGAGGATGAATTGTGTCTGTGTGTTTTTTTCCCTCCTGAGAGGGCCCCAGGGCGGCCCCAGGGGCGCCCAAGAGCGCCCCCCGCAAGGGGCCCAAGAGGGCAGCTCGCCTCCTCCTCCCACTCGGGGACATGCTCGGCCGTTCTGAAGGGGGGCGCTCGCGCCCCGGCGCCCTCCTCCCCCCCCCAATCGAGAGAGGCCAGGGGGAGGGGGGGGGCACGCCACCACTGAGCCGAGCATCCAGAGGGACGCGTGGGCAGAAGGGCGCGCGCATCGGCAGCTCTTCGAAAAACAAACGCGAGAAGCGAGACAGAGGAGGTAGAGGAATGGGAGGACAAAGCCGGGATGCCGGGACAAAACCGGGAGGAAAAAAAGGGGGGCACGAACAATAGTAGATTCTCTGCGCCGGGGGCGCAATTCCCCCCACAGAGAGGACAGGAGGGGGGAGACCCCGCTTCATGATTCTGGGCCCTACACTACTCTTTTCGAATCGACCTCGATCTCATACCGCGGTCCGACTGTACGCGAAGCGTGAAGAGTTGGAACGGATCGCAACGTGCATTGAACCAGGCCGCATCGGCACGGCGTTAGCACTGAACAGGGTCTGCCGCTGCAGGCTGGACAACAACGCTGCGCAACAACAAAAATTGCATGGGATCTTCCGATCACCAGAATCGTAGCGGACTGAACTGGCCTTGATCTTCATCGGATCGGATCGCCTGGGATCATCATCGAAATGGATCCTGCCCTGCGCGAACTTCGATGCTGCGCTGGCACGATGACGGGGTTTGCCGCAGGCAGCCGGATAGAGAACAAGCGGAGCACCCAGGAGTGCAGCCGCCATTGTCATGTCGCTCTGGAGCTTCATCGAGTTCCCGGGTGCGGTGGCATCCACGGCCTGGTTCCTCCTTCCTCTGCTACTCCTTCTCAGAATCTAGGCTTACCATAGGGAAACGGGTCCTGGGCCCCAGGGCCTTCCCCGAGGACCACTTGGGAGGACGAGCGCGAGAAGTGGGGGCAGGGAGGAGGGAAACGAACAGTGACATTGACAGAACAACTCGGAGGTCCGCGCGGAGCCAAGAAATCTGCGCGGAGGGCCAAAAGTTTATGTTGTTGGCGTGCTTACTCTTCTAAGGGGTTGCTGGAGGTGCCCCTGGGTCAAGGTGTCCCCAGCTTTTTGCGCCATTTGGGAGCCCCTGGGGCCCTCCGGGCCTCGTGAGGGGTGCTCTGGGGCCCCCAAGGAGATCATGGGGGTACCTTGGGCCAGCCAACACCAGGAGGTTTACCGATGTGTACCGGGTCGGACGCCCCCCCTCCTCCTCCTCCTCCTCCTCCTCCTCCTCCTCCTCCTCCTCCTCCTCCTCCTCCTCTCCTCCTCCTTCTCCTCCTCCTCATCCTCCTCCCCTCCTCCTCCTCCTCTCGTCCCCTCCTCCTCCACCTACTCCTTTTCCTCCTCCTCCTCCTCCTCCTCCTCCTTCTCCTCCTCCTCCTCCTCCTCCTCCTCCTCCTCCTCCTCCTCCTCCTCCTCCTCCTCCTCCTCCTCCTCCTCCTCCTCCTCCTCCTCCTCCTCCTCCTCCTCCTCCCCTCCCCCTCCCCCAACCCCCGCCCCATGCCCCTCACCAGAACTGCCGTCACCCGAAAAAACCCAGCTACGGCAGACCTGGCCTACCTGAGACCCGACGTGGCGGAGAAAGTGCAGCATCGTCGAAAATCACGTCAGGAGCCCAAGCCTCCACATCTTCCTGCCTTATTCTTCGAGCTCCCCCGATCGATATGTGAGGGTCCCAGGGCCCGAATAGAACGTGAAAACGCTCGGCACTGAATAATTGAGACGCCAAGATCTCAGGGTGTAGCGGATCCAATCCATATTGTGGACTTCGGGGCCCAATCACTTCGGGGATCTTCCGACCCGGGTCCATCCAGACCCGGGTCAGCCGGGCCTCGCAGCATCCGGCAAACCCTGCTGGATCCTGCACCTCAAACCCAGGTCAGTGCAGCCCTGGCTCTGCAGGATCCTGCAAGATCCGGCGTTCTGACCGACCCCCGTTTGTATTGACCCCCGACGTCGTGACTTGTTTCGCAACGTCGACCCCCGAAGGTCTGGACCCCTTCCCATCCTGAGTCTCTTTTTTCCGGTCCCGAGGCCCGGCGAGGGCCCCCAGAGGCCGAAACTGGCGAGAGACCTCCCATCGGGATTTTTGAGCAGGGGCCGACCGTCCCGGCATTCCTATAGGCCTACCACGACATGTTCTTAGAACCCAG